TCATTAATTTCTTGAATATATATATATATATATATATTTATTTTTGATGACTTATTTTTCATTTTGCCTTCCAAATTGGGTCCTTTCCTACAATTTATAGACACCTAAAATGAAATTTGTTGTTAATTAGTTAAAAAAAAAATACATAAATTACATTAATTAGTTATATATACAAATGTCTCTAGGAGTGCATAAGGTTGATGCCAAATTTGAAAAGGGTGAGGTTACAGTTAAAGGTGCCATTGATGCCAAAAAGGTTCAAGAAAGGTTACAAAAATGGAGCAAGAAAAAAGTTGAGTTAAAATCCGAGACTATGTCCAAGGACGAAGTGAAAAAGGTATAGTATTTGTTTTTTTAACTATTTTTTTTTTCAAGTTATATATTGCAATTGTAGTCACTGATTAATCAGTTTCTACCCAAGTATAGGAAACTATTAGAACAATTACAATGAAGGTTTACTTGCATTGTGATCAATGTGAACGCGAGGCGCGTAAAAGGCTAATGATGCACAAAGGTTCGGTATAATTTCATTCAAAAATCACAAAATTAATCTACACACTTGCAATTTTTGTACAAATTTGATGAATGTTCTATCAAAAAAAGGTCGATTATACACTTTTGTAGGCATACATAATGTTAAGACCGACATAAAAGCTCAGAGGATCACGGTTGAGGGAGTCTTGGAGCCGGAAAAGCTCGTGACGTATATGAGAAAACGAGTACACAAATACGCCGAATTAATAGTAACCGAAAAAAAGAAGGAAGAAAATAAAGAGAAGGGTAAAGGCTTAGAGGAAAATAGTAAGAGTATTGTGCAGTTTAAGGAGGTTAATAAAGTGGAAGCCAAAAATAAAGAAGGTGAAGTTGCATACTTCATACATTATGTATATGCTCCTCAAATGTTTAGTGATGAAAACCCCAATGCTTGTTCCATTTTGTAGATACATATTGAACATATATTGTTTCATTTTCCAAGATCAACTCTCTTGTATATATATTACTTTATATTTTCTTTCTCCTTGATGAATGGCTATTAATTTCTCATTGATGTTAATTCCATGAGCCATATTTAGAACGAACGATGAAATTGATACGAGCGTAATTGTAGGGAGATGCTAACCATTCCATCGGAGTTTGTAGCCGTTAGATCAACTATCTCCGATGATTAAATGATGATCTAACGGTTACAGACCCGATGGAATGGTTCCGTAACGGAACCGTAGCATTTCCCTAATTTCATTATTGATACTTGTCATTCATTCAATAGAACATAATATAAATTGAAACATGATTTTAAAATAGAAAATCAGGTGGGGACTAATACATCCCTTGGACACAAAAAATTGATTTCATCAACACAAAACCAACAAAGAGGGCCAAAATAAAACCCTAGGGCACAAACAAATCAAAATCAAGAAAACAAACATCAAATCAAATAATTCAGAAAACAGCAAACCCAAATCAAACCATGGAAAAAAAAAAAAAAAAAAAAAACTGATGGCTGAACATAATATTAATTTCCGCTATGCTTTATTCGAAAACCCCAAAAAGCCCCTGTCTACAGCAAATCGTTATGAGCCGTAGGGCCGCCGGACCTTGCGGCGGCGGTGTTGATGCCGCCGGTGCTGGCTCCGTAAGCGTCTCTGGCTGGGACGGCGGATGGATCCATAGCGCCGGCGCCGCCGCTCATCGGATCGGCGGAGTATCCCGCTGCCCCGGGATTGGGGCAGTTGGCGTCCTCGCCGCCGAGGACGGTGCCGCGGTGGTACTTTTGCTCGGCCTGCGCTGCCTTCTCGGCGGCTCTGTTGACGTGGAGGTCCATGGCGGCCTCGGCTTCCCTCGCCATCCTCACCTCGTGGGCCACCTGCACTCTCGTCTTCGCGAGCTCTTTCTCCTCCTTTAAAAACGCCCCAAAAAATTTCCATTAATCAACTGTTTCATTACTTTTCAAAAAAGGAAAAAAAGCAAAAAATGACTTTAATTCTAAATTAGACTTAGATATGAGTGTTATTAGAGTCGAGTCGAGCCGAGCATTTCATGTTCGAGGCGACTCGGAATCGGCTCGTTCAATAAACGAGTCAAGGTTCGTTCTCGTTTAATATCGTAAAAATGACTTTCTAGATTAGACTTAGATAGGGGTGTTATTAGAGTCCAACCGAGCATTTCATGCTGGAGTTGACTTTGAATCGGCTCGTTCAATAAACGAGTCGAAGTTTGGCTCGTTTAATACCCTGAAAGTTCGGCTCGTTTTATAAAATCAAAATTATAGACGAGTTGTTCTCGAAGCTCAACTTGCTTAAGTAAATAAACGAATCAAGTTCGAACTTTCACGAGTAAAATCAAATTACATTATGTAATAATTCAGTTCAAATAACAATTATACGTACATAGAATTGCACTTTCCTTTTTTTTTTCATAATTAAAATATAAACTCATCAACTTATGTAATTCAAATCTTTATTACAAATAAATGATAAAGTTGTTAATTACC